AGGGCAGAGGCCTGCCGCCCCTGTCACGGACATAGATTGATCTGGTCGACTCCGTGACACCCCCCTACCACAGAAACACCATATCCAGAAACGTCACTGATGTAGGTTACCTTTTTATCTTCAAAATGAATAACATTGGTCTTTGCAATGCTATAGTGGGATGATAATAACAGGGTGGCAAATTCTTCAGCTGTAGCAAATGAGAACAAGCCCAAACACAGTGGCCATGGATGAAGAAACAAAGGAAAAGAGCTACTTACTCTTGGACAGCATCTCCACTGCCAACCTTAAATGAGGTCTGAGAAGGAATGGATCCTGGCTCCACCCCTTCCAGTCACTCAGGTGCACTGCTTGCACCTCAGCTCCCTTGGGTTAGCCCAGCCTTCCCACCAGGTGCTCAATCACTGGTTCAGGCCACAACTTAGCTTTTCCACTACAGCCTTTAGATTAGAAAGCATTGTTCTGAAATTGAAATACTATAGGGAACAATTCTGCATCTAATTCTACAATTTATAACATATATAGAAATGATACATATGGCAATTTTTATTAAAACAAAACAAAACAACAAAACTTTTGAAACTGTATTCCAAGAGGTATTTTGTGTTTCTTTATTTAAACTTTAAGTTCCAGATTATTCAAAATGCTATTTTCAGAGAAGTGTCTGTTTTTCAGTAGGAATTGGGTTTTGTGTGATTGTTGAGGTTTTTTGTTGTTGCACCTTTAAGAGGCTGATTTTGATAGTAGCATCAGCAGATGGAGGTAATAACTCACAACTGTATTTCTGTGTTGTCGTCATGTAGCACTCCCTCCTCCCCAGAAGTGTTTGACCAGTGAGAAATGACCCAGACTCTACTCAGTGGGTCCTGGACAAGTGAGCAGTAAAATTAGCACTAATTCCAAGAGGTGCTCTTAGTGCCTGTCTGCAAGAGATGAGAGGGGGAACAGAAGAGCAGGGAAAGTGCAGATACGGACAAAATTGCAAACGTTTTGGTGATTCATGGAGCTCTTTTGGCTTTTGTAGCTGTGATATTTGACACAATGACTTAAACAATGACTAAGTAGGTAGTGGATTTGCTTTGAGATCTTTTCCTGATGTGATTCTCTGTACAGATGATCTATTTGGTGGAGCTATGACTATTAACATTTCAGATTGCCCAGAATACTGAGGATTGTCTGGATGGAATGAGGATTGGAAAGTTACCAGCTCCTTTGGAAGAAGAACACTAAACTAAAGTATTCTTTAGGGTTAAAGTCACTGCCTGATGATTTCCTGGAGAAGTGTGAGAATCAGCTTAAACAAAGCAGCAGGTAAACTGCCACGGGAATTTGTCCTCTTTAAAAAATATCTTTGGCTCCAGAAATCTGAAGCTTTCCTAGCCAAAACCAGAGGTGTTAAATTTGCAGGTTTGTGTAAAGAACACCCAAACAAGAGCATACCAGTGTTAAGTGCAAGCTTATGAAAAGTGGCATGAACTACTTCACGCTGTTAAAATGTAAGATTTAAAGCAAAAGATACATGCTGGTTGCCAGCAATGGCAGAACAATCTGTTGATATCATCATGTCAAGGTAGACTAACCTAAAATTTAGTAATTGTAAATTTAAATTTCTGCATATTAACATAATTATCTACAGTATATTTCTAAAGATGGGGTACATCATACTCAGATTCAAGAAATTAAGTGTACCTTTCTCTTTGTGACCTAGGAGCTGAAATCATGAGGACTTATCTGTCCCCTGAGAGAAGCAGCTTCTTTCCAATGCTGAGCTAGTGTAGAAGGAGCAAACAATGTGATGGTGGAGGCAACCGTCCTAGTTCACACTGCAAGCATGTGTTTGATGCCTCCAGCTATTTCTCGCAATAAGCGATGCAATAAGAATCAAATTCCTTTCTGCATTTGAACAGACAAGTCAGACTTCATAATGAACGCTGCACCATGCTGCTGACAGTACAGCCCGGATGACTGTATGGAAGGAGAACCAACAGAACTAATTGAAACATTAACAGAGAAGCAGGAATATGGACAGAAAGAGGTCAGCCCAACGTTTAAGAGCATTGGCAGAAGACGCTTCAAAATGGGAAGCATATTTACTTTCAATTTCTCTGTTTCTGTCTTTTCTTTTGTTCTCCTCTTTCCCACTCATTCATTCCTTTATGATCTCTGTATTTCATGCTGGAATGTAGGAATGGCTCTTGTCTACACATGCATGTTGGCAGAACAGGGAATTGGGGTAGCATGTCACCTGTATGTGACGCATATTTATATAGCACTCAGAAATTATGGTGTGAAGCATGTTACATGGCCACATTCAGATTTAAGAATCATGCAGAATCAGAAGCGTCTACATGTGAAATGGTGGGGTGTATCTGAGCCCAGCCTGCCTGGATGAATTTGCATATTTGGGGCAGCTGGGAGGGCAGAAGGTGGTGATGCGGTAGGCTGAACTGTGGAGTCTGTGACCTATTGCCCAAAGCACTGTGACTCTGATGAGCAGAAGCAGGTGCCCAACGAGGTTCAGTGCAGGGCTCTGCAAAAAATCTGCCATCACTGATCCGAGAGGGAAGGAAACACCACTGGAGACGCCATGGTAAGGGGGGATGGATGTGGGGTCACCAGTCATACCACCAGGGACTGGGAGGATGATGGGCAAGGGTAGTCAGGGGGATCTGCCGTTATCACCAGCTTGTGCCACAGAGTCTGATCTCACTCACGGGTTATGATGTTAAAGGTCAGGAAAGCTGTGTCAGAATATCTCACTGGGGCTGCAAGGCACACAGAGACACAGTTTTCTTCAGAGACACAGAGTTTTCTTCTAATTAGTGGAATTATAAAATGAAGTAGATCTGGAGTTTTGGTTTTCTAGTAATCTCTGTTGTGACTATGTTTTCTCAATGCATGTTCATTTTCATATGAAATAATAATCTTCTTCCTTACATTTGTGCCTGTTTTAAATTGATTTAGCCTTGATGTCTGTACTGTTCACAGTTACACAATGTATGTGTTTCTGGAGTGCAGGAAGGTTTCTATAAGTTTATGTGTTTAAGTAAGTAAAACAGAATTTTGTCTTTTTTTTTTAATAAATCCATAGAAATTGCTCAAACCCTCTTATAAAGTGAAAAAATAATTTCACCTGGTACACCAAGTTATGTCTCTAGCTGTCGTATTTTAGTGTAGAAAACTATGTGATAAAGCTCTTTTCCAAACGTGGTGATTGTATGTGCGTTTACAGCTGCAAAACAAGAAAATTTATTTCAAAGGCAAAGTACATACACTTCCATGCACTTGCCATGCTTTAAAGCAGACTCTGTAAAAGTGAGGTTCACAATTTGTGAGATAGGTCCTAGTACGTCAGTGATGCAGTGTGAAATGTGAGTTTGGAGGAGGCTCAAAATTGAAATACCACGCAGAGATCAGCTTACCCATCTTGTGATTCTGAAGAAGGGCCATTCTTTTTCCTATCAGAAGTCTAACATTATTTTAAGAGCTATTTACTACTCAAAATTAGAAATCTCTTTGTTACTGTCTTCTTTACTTGCCAGAATATTTCCAAGCAATTGCTGGGTTAGGAAGAAACAGGGGTTGAAGCCAGGAGTCATGGCAGAAAGCCTGGCCCAAATGCAGAGTTAAGACGCTGTGTCAAGCCAGTGGAAGTGGAAGCCCTGTCTGAAAGGAAACAAACTGGGTCTACAGTTTTCATCTGTGGTCCTATGCTAAGCTCTACAGTATCAACTTAGTTGTTCTAAGACAACACACACACACACGCGTGCACGCACACAAATTGATTCCTCTACTGATTTGAGAAAAGCTTCCAAGTGTTGCTTGGCTCTTAATTGTAGCTTTGCTCCAAAGGAGAGTCTATTAAAAAGTTACCTTGCCTCATTTCTGTGTTTAAAAGATAGAGCTGCTCTTTTTCTTGCTGTCAGCCTTGTAGATCCACACTGGGATCTAACTGAAAAGCAAGAGCCTGTCCTGTGCCAAATCAGCATTAATTGTACTCACTAGACCCAATCTAACCTTCAGTGTTTCCTGAGTAATCCTCCAGCTTGCAACTCCATTGCAGCATACTAGCCTATGCAGATGCACCAGCACTCACTTGTGCAAAACTTAACTGAAAAAAACAAGGTTGCACAAGTGTGCTTGAAAGCACATTACACATGCTTTTGCAAATGAATTCTCACAGTCAGCAATTTAAAATGAGCACTGAATGGAAGTAAAATATTTCCTTGACTGAAATAATTAGATTGGTTTTCTATATTCATCTGAACTTCTGCAAATGGCAACCTGTGGCAGTAGTGACTTCTAAAATATCACTTGCTTCTGAAAAAATATATTTAGTTTTGTTTATAAAATGCAAACACTGAAAATTGGTGAAGAAAACTGCCCTAGAGATGATGCTGGTCGTGCATTCTGCTGGAGGATTTGTTTTTTGGGGAAGATACATTTAACTGTCAGATTGTGGGACGATTTTGCAGGATAAGCAGTTACAGAATTTGAGAGCAAAAACAACAGAAAGTTAACTGGCCACATCTGCTCTTACGTAATCAAATATATATCTACATTGCAAACTGAAAATGACTGGGGACCACTCTCTTGCCTTGAGGCAGCTAGGATGGCCAGCTTCGTATTTATGCATCTCTTGCATACGCATCTCTTTCCCCCTCCAAAACCAGGCAGTGGTCAGCTAGCTGCTCACTGAAAACCATTCTCAACAATGAGCTATGCTTGAACGGTGCCCAAGCAATACCTGAGAAAGTAGGAACTGGCACAAGCCAAAATTGTGCCATAGTATGTATTAATTATCAATCAGTACAGGCTACCCTGTCTCTTACTCACTAGCATAGATAGGGCCAGTGATACCACAAATTTGGAGCACAGAAGATTATAATCACAACTGCTCCAAAGCAGAAAATGAGGTTGAAAAACTTCATGTGGTCTGTAACCACCTTTTCTTACAAAACTGCCTTTCCTTCATGCGATGTCATGTTAGTCTGGACCAACTCAGAAGTCTCTACTTTGTAATTTTCTTTCTGAATTTATGAAATCCAGTGCCAGGCCCCTGTACTCTATGTGTTGAGGCTTTTCAGCAATTGCATCTGCTTAGTTAAGCCTGGTGTTATATATGTTGTGTTCTTTTCATTGAAGTTCCAGGCTACCACAGGAATTATACTCAAAATTATGTAAGTAAGCATATTCCATTCTGTCATATTGACTTAATTAAGCAGTGAACCTGCAGTGTAAAATTCACAGCTTGTTCAGGATCTTGAAAGAACATTAGTTTCAACCAAAAGAATCTGAAATCATTTCCTGAGGTGAATACTGCTGAAAGCAGTTCCTCCAAGTTTGCATTCTGGTGTGCTATCAGAGGGTAAAAGGATCAAAAGACATCACCCGTCTTGGGTTTCATACGGTTGAAAAATACCATATGACTGTGTCAGGTTCCAGCCAGAAGTAAAAATAAAGTGGGATGTGTTCCTCTATATAGCCAATTCATAGGAGGAAAGGCAGGTTTTGTAGAACTGAAATTATTATTTATTGCTTGCTTTCATGTATTACAGCACAGAGACCTCAATTTTTAAAAAGTCTGTCCCAGTCATTGGTCTGTATATGTGCAATCTCAATCATGGTGTTGAACAAACAAGTGAAATACTGCCAGTGACAACTAAATATATATATATATATATATTTTAAAGTAATATTCTGGGAAAAAGTAACTTAGGAATAAGGAATATTAATGCACACTGATTTTCCTGACCTTATTTCTCTGCTCTCTCCCTTTAGCGTGAGTGCATCTCTGTTCATGTTGGCCAGGCTGGAGTTCAGATAGGAAATGCATGCTGGGAACTCTTCTGCCTGGAGCACGGCATTCAGCCAGATGGCACCTTCAAGGATCAGCACAATCAGCTCAACAACGATGACTCTTTTACAACATTTTTCAATGAAACTGTCAGTGGGAAGCATGTGCCACGAGCTGTAATAGTGGACTTGGAACCAAGTGTAGTAGGTCGGTATCAGTGTGCAAAATGAAAAAGGGTTACTCTTCCTAAGTATCACTACTGTGTGTCACCAGGCTGGAACAAAGAAGCACATCCTTTGTACCGTGTCTACCATGAGACTTCGTGACATTAATTTTTCTGTGACATTGAATGTCACATTCTGTCATGATGCTATTATCTCTATGGGTGTTAAAGACCTAGGAATGACAGGATCCCCCTAGCTAGTATATACAGTTGACTCTTCTTTGCAGAAACTCTTAACTCTTGGTTTCCTTTATCATGACATTTTTGTCATCTGAATTCTGCTTTTCTCCACTTCGGATTCAAAATGGGAACTGGCATTTTCCTTTCAGGAAAAAATGGGTTTCCTTAAAATTAGGAACTAGATTGTCTTCTGCCTTATTTTTTTTTTTCCTCCTGGTAATCTGTCCTTTTGTCAATACAACTAACTAACGAATTCTTCTTGAGAGAATAACAGCTTTGGCAGATGCCTCACAAAAATAAACAACGCCACAATGACAAAAATTCTTAGGGAAGCTTTCTCTTCTCCATTAATTCTCCCCTCTCAGTCAGCGTATGTTTTTTTGGGTCATTTTTTGGGTCATGACCTCCCACGACTGAAAGCTGGCACCGCTGCCAACAACAACCAGCTTGTTGGCATTGGAGCGTGGTCGTGCAACCTCTTATAATTCCTCTTTCTTGGTCAGACGAAGTGCGGGCTGGCACCTACCGGCAACTTTTTCATCCAGAACAACTGATCACTGGAAAGGAAGATGCGGCGAATAACTATGCTCGTGGACACTACACTGTTGGCAAAGAAAGCATTGACATAGTGATTGATCGTGTTCGTAAGCTGGTAAGTCCCAGTAGTTTTTTTTAACAGCGCTTCGGTTCCACTGAAGGAAGAAATGCGTTATAGGAAATGTGAATCAGTTCAGAAAGGAGACTGCATGACCTACAGAAAGATCATTACCACTCTAAGAAAGACCAATAGAGACCTCCCAGTTGCATGGCTTCAGATAGTCTGAAAAGATGCTTCTGAATATGTAATTTTTCATCAATTCTATGCAAGTCATCAGCAATTCTATGCAATTAATCAGCAATTCTATGATCCTATCATTAGCATAGCTCTAAAATACCAACACTGACATAGAAGTATGGATTACATAGTTCAGTGTTGCTAGTTTCAGTTAGATTAACTGAAAGAACTGTGGACTTCAGGGAGAGAAGTTCACTGTTAAGACAACAATTTTTATGTCAAAAGTCAAGCCAGTGAAAGAAGAAAAGAACAAAATTACCATCAGCTCTTTCTTAAGAAATACTGAGCTGAAATATGTGCTGTATATTGCTGATGATTGCTCTCTCCTTCATCTCAGAATAAACAAATGCAGTAGATGTAGTCTTTTACTTCTTTTTCGGCCCTGATTCTTTCACTTTATCTTTTGGTTTCTAGGCTGATGCCTGTTCTGGACTGCAGGGGTTCCTCATCTTCCACAGCTTTGGAGGGGGCACCGGCTCTGGCTTTACCTCTTTGCTGATGGAGCGCCTCTCTGTGGATTATGGAAAAAAGTCTAAACTAGAGTTTGCTATCTACCCAGCTCCTCAGGTCTCCACAGCTGTGGTGGAACCCTACAATTCCATCCTTACCACGCACACCACTCTGGAACACTCTGACTGTGCCTTCATGGTGGACAATGAGGCCATATATGATATCTGTCGCAGAAACCTAGACATCGAGCGCCCAACCTACACTAATCTCAATCGCCTGATCAGCCAGATTGTCTCCTCCATCACCGCATCGCTGCGCTTTGATGGTGCCCTCAATGTGGATCTGACAGAATTCCAGACAAACCTGGTGCCCTACCCACGCATCCACTTCCCCTTGGTGACCTATGCCCCCATCATTTCTTCTGACAGAGCGTATCACGAGCAGCTCTCGGTGGCTGAAATCACCAGCTCCTGCTTTGAGCCCAACAACCAGATGGTGAAGTGTGACCCGCGGCATGGGAAGTACATGGCTTGCTGCATGCTCTATCGTGGAGATGTAGTTCCCAAAGATGTCAACGTAGCAATTGCTGCCATCAAGACTAAGAGAAATATCCAGTTTGTTGACTGGTGTCCAACAGGCTTCAAGGTGAGAATGCCATGAGTTTAACTTTTAATGTCTGGCTGAAATCTTGTATTTTAAGCTTTAGATCTTGCACGCTTTTCACTTGTGAGAAAAATGAACCTATAAAAGGTTTATGGGTATAAAATATGCGCTTTCTCCTTCAGAAATCCTAATGGCACAGATTTGTAAATATTTATAAGTAGAAATCTAGCTGTACGAGTTCAAATCTAAAGTCATATTACTTTCATACCCGAATTGTGAGAAAGCCAGTGACTGTGCTCTCTGAAGCAACAAATAAAACTAAGGAAATACCAGAGTAAATACATTCAATAAAGGAAATACTGGTACTCAAGAAGCTGCCAGCTAACCCTCTCATACAGAAGTACTATGTGGCCTCTCTCCTATGGCTCCATAGAACGTTGACAAACATCATTTCTACAGCAATACATCTGTCATGCAAATATCTACTTAAGAAACTGAGTACTTTTAACTGGGAACCAACTTTCCATATTAGTTTGCATCTTGTTGAAACAGTATGTTTGGTGTTGAGTAGCTGTTAAGAAAGCTAGGAAGTTTCCATTATACATTAAACAGAATAAGTGTACAGCAATTCAAATGATTATATATTGTGTATAACCTTATTATGTTTTATTGTATTTGCCATTTGATAGTGGTACCATGCTATCACAGCATCTGTGACTTTATTAATTTTTTCAACTTCCTGACTACATTCTCCCCTTGCCTTTTTCATGCTTCTCTCATATTCCTACTTCCAGGTTGGGATCAACTATCAGCCTCCTACAGTAGTTCCTGGGGGAGACCTAGCCCAGGTTCAGCGAGCAGTCTGCATGCTCAGCAACACCACAGCTATTGCAGAGGCCTGGGCAAGGCTTGACCACAAGTTTGATCTTATGTATGCCAAGAGAGCCTTTGTTCATTGGTATGTAAGTGAAGGCATGGAGGAAGGAGAATTTGCAGAGGCCCGAGAGGACCTGGCTGCCCTGGAGAAGGACTATGAAGAAGTGGGAACTGACTCATTTGAAGATGAAAATGATGGAGAGTAATTTTAAAATACATCTTGTTCCTAGTGAGCACAGAATTGTCTCTGTATCACTGTACTGCATATGTCTATGATTATGTCACACCTTTGTAATATACACCAATATAGGAGGAGTCACGTAAAGACATCTTTTTGTTCTATGAATCACAGGCAAATTGTCCTGTAAGGTATGATTGTCCTGTAAGATATGATGATCATATCTTCATTATGGTAGTAATGCTCCACCATTCCCAGCAATGTACAAAGACTTGCTCTCCTGTTAGTGTAAGCTTTTAAAAACTCTAACACATGTTAAAACATGGCAATCCAATATATACAAGCTTCTAATGGATTACAGCGAAACGCCATAGTTTTCAAATTTAAATTTGACATACCTTTGCCTTTTGCTTGTTGGCATGTCAAAAAACAATGGAAATGGAGAAATGGTTCCTCTGCTCTGTGCTTCATTATCCTCTAAATGATCTTCAACTGATGGACATAAAATGGACATTAACAGAAAAAACAAACAAACAACTTATTAGTAGTCAGCATGCATTCACCAAGTCATGTCTGAATAATTTGATAAACTTCTATGACAAAATGACCGTCTTTGTAGACTAGGGGACAGCAGTGAATATAGTCCACCTAGACCTTGGTAAGGCTTTTGATGGTCTCTGGTCAGATCTTCAAGATTCTCAAAGAGAAGCTGCCAAAGTGCAGGCTGCGTAAGTAGACACTGAAATGGATTGAAAACTGGCTGAATGGCTGAGCCTAGAGGGTGAGAGGAATGGCAGATATGCCAGAGGGTCATGCTGCTCCAGGTAGCACTGTTTGAGCTGGAGAGTTGGACCAGTCAACCTCCAGAGGTCTGTTCCAACCTTAACCATCCTGTGATTTTATGATTCTGTTATCTTCCTCACATAGAGATTTCTATTTATGTTGACAGTTACAGTGTGCATGATATGCATTTAATCATCCAGATCACTAAAATGCTGAACTGTGCACTTACAGAATACCAGAAATGCCTCTCTTAAGGAAAATATCCCTATTCAGGATATACTTGATTATGTATTTAAACTGAAGCAACATGAAAGAGTGTTACTCAACCCAATGGGATTTAGACTGTTAGACTCCTTGTTATCTCCTAAACTGGAACCAAAGCCAGAAACAGGAAACTTTACACATAGGACACTGTTAAAAAAGAAATGGTGACAAAATTGGCAGACAAAGTACTTGCTTTCTTGAAAAACTGCTGAAAATGATACGATGAAGAAGTGAGAAGACACCAATCCAGAGTTGAGTACATTATAAACTCTAAACCATAGGATGTGGAGTTCTTAACTCCCAGAATGCTTTTCAAATCTCATCCTGATTATCAATTTTATGGTTTATTTTATTTTATTTTATTAGCATGGACACTTAGGAATCAGGATCCCAATTTTCTCAGTAGTCAATGAACTCCTTAGAATGATTTGGAGGTTACTTTAAAAGTGCTATGGCAGTTACCAGGAGCAAGCAGGTTTTGTCAAAGTGACACTACCCCATGACATTCAACAGGCAGTGTATTTGGATCCAAACACTTTATCTACTCACTTTTAACCATCTCTTCATCTAAGTGTATTTCCCAGGCTCAGACACCTGCCCAATACATTTTGGAACTGGAGTGTCACAACTGACTTCCAAAGGCAGGCCCTACAATGTTATTAAATAAGACATAAGCTCCATTTAATCTAGTAACCAGATTCTCAAAGAGGTCATTACCAAAAGCCATGGCAGCTGCATGGTCCTTCACTGCTTTACACAGATCTAGCTCCTAGTTAATCTCCGGTGTCAGTTTGCACTCTGCTTAGTTGGTTTAACTGTTTCAAGGCAGCGTACAGCTATGCAGTTCTTCTTACTCTTCCTCTCACTTTTGTCAGGCAGACTCCACACAAACTAGTAATACAGAGTGAAAACCATTAACTCTGTCATTACCAAAATGATTCACAAATTCCACAGGAAAGATGTTGATTCATTTGTACTCTTCTGCCCGCAAGCCTCTACAGGTACCCTTGTCTGTCCATGTGATAGCTCAGGAAGCTTTGCACTGCCACTGCTACCTTGGCTGAAGAGCTCTTGCTGTGAGGGCCAGGCCGTTTGAGCAGGGTCTCACTCCTGGGCCCCCAAAGGCTCCATCTATTTCACACAGATTGCAGAAAGCCTACTTCACAGGTGGCAGGAAGAGGGGAAATGGCCTCAAGTTGCACCAAGGGAGGTTTAGGTTGGATATCAGGAAAAACTTCTTTACAGAAAAGCTTGTGAAGCACTGGAATAGGCTCCCCAGGGGGGTGGTTGAATCACCACCCCTGGATTTGTTTAAAAACCGTTTGGATGTGGTGCTCAGGGACATGATTTAGCAGAGAGTTGTTAAAGTTAAGGTAGTTTGGTTAGGTATTGGTTGGACTTGGCAATCTTTAAGGTCTTTTCCAACCTGAGCAATTCCATGATTCTATGATCCTGTGATTCGCACACACCACTTCCCAGCCAGCAGGGCAGCACCACTCACCTCTCAGCTCTCCTCTCTCGTTGTGTGGTGCAAAGCTGGACTGGTAGCTACTCCCCAATAAGCGGAACATCCAAGCAGGGCAGCACATCGTTCCATCCACCATCCTTCTGCTGGTGCTCTGGAAGAAGAGGAAGGTAGCCTGGAAATGCACTGGAGGAGTGGGTGCCTGAACTCTTGCTGGTCTGGATGCATTTGGACTCGCTGAGGCCAGGCACCATCCAGCATGGGCTGGAGCTGAAGCTGCTCTGTGGTTGAGTAATTTCGTTTACCATATCACTGCCATTCACCCGTACTCTGCTGGGGACTACGGCTCACTTACGAGCGGAACTTGTTACACTTCGAGGCTGCAACACGCATTAAGTTTCTAAGCAAGTAACTTATTTGGGGTTATTTTAAATAAGTAGGTTACTGCGGGCGTTCCTAACAGTTTGGCTTTCTTATTGCTTTTGTAGCTAAAAGAAACGGACGCCGTACCTCACAACAGCCTACTTCTGCGCCCCGTCCGCCCCTAGCGGCGAGCGGGAAGCGAAACCAGCGGCTCCGCCCGGTCTGCACCGGAGCTGAGTTTCACTTTCTGTCCGGGGGCAGAGCTAAGCGGGAAATGAAAGCTCCGCTGCGTTGTGGGCGCTCCTCGCTGCCCTCTGACGCAGCCGGGAGGAGCGCGGCAATCTCTCTCTCAGGCAGCGCCGCCGCGGCAGCCGCTCCCTCAGCGCTGCCCGCGGGACCGAGGTGCCCTTTGCCCTGCGTTCATGCGCCTTCCTGGCTCGTTACGGCTGCATGCGGCCCCGGGGGAAGGCTGAAGATCCGTCGTGGCTCCGAGCGCTCGAGATCCTGCAGGAACTGGTAGGGAAACCTTTTGGACCGCTTGTCGCTAAGGCGAACCGCAGCCGTAGGGCGCCAGTAGGGCGGTCCCAGGCGTAATGTGTCGGGGTCTTCTTGTCTGCAAGCTCTTACTGTGCTAATTAGAGGGCATGAAGTCAAAGGGGTGCGAATAATTGGCATTTGTAGCGGCTGGAATGGTTGCTTTTGTCTGGCTCATCAGAAATATTCTTTAATGAACAAAAATATGTATAGAAAGGGAAAGAAAAAAAAAAAGGGAGCTGAACAAACGCGTAGTGGGAAGTCTCATTTCAGCCGTGTCAAGACAAGTGCTCAAGTCCACCTCTCAGCCCTGCAGCTGCACCTCAGGGCCACCATCATCTCCTCGAGAGCGCCATAGATTCCTAAGAGTGGCTTAGGTTGGAAGGCACCTGAAAGATCATCGAGCTCCAGCCTTCTGCTGTGGGCAGGGTTACTGGCCACTAGATCAACTCATTGCGTTGGCCTTTGTCTCCCCAGGCCACTGTCTGTCCCCTTGAGAGCCCAAACCCCATGAGGATAAAGGGGTGATGATGGTGGGAAGGGTGAATGGTGACCAGGGACAGAGGCCATCCTCAGGCAGAGAGGGCTTGGGTGGCAAAGGGGCAGCAAGACCACAAGGATGCTGGGGCTGAGAGGATTGTGGCATGGAGGTGTAAAGGAGCATGGGGTTTTATCGTGGATGGTCAGAATCCTGAGGGGACAGATAGGCTGTGGTGCATTGAGAGTGAAAGGGACGAGTCTAAGCTGACTGAGAGGATGGGCGAGAGAGCTTGTAGATGATGGGTGAAAGATAGAAGCAGACGTGGCTGCTGCCTTCTGTCTGCCTGCAGTTAGCATGTTCACTCCGCTCATCTAAGCCACAAGTGGTACTGAGTCATCCCCCTCATCTGCCAGGGAAACAGAGAAGGGACCCTGCCCTTCAGTAAGAGGGGAGAAATCAGGGCTAAGTGGGAAGTCTGCTCCCCAAGTCCTCTGCCCACTCACCAGATTTCTTACATATTTATGCAGAAAAAGGAGGATCACGTGCAAATCTTAGGAATACTGTATTTTTTATAGCTGAGACAAAGCAGTTCCATGCAATGGTTGGGAAGTTCAGGTCTTGTCCTTGCTCGCAAGCCAGGGTTCCTGTTAGCAGGGCCTGGGTCCTGGGGGAGAGTTTCATCAAACCACAGACCCAAATCCTTCTATCTCTGTAGATCCCTGCTCCTTCCAGCACTAGTGTAATTCTACCTATTTCTCAAGTCACCCGAAGCTTCCTAGCTCTGAGCTTGCTTGTTCATCCCACTCTTAAGCCTACCAAAAGCTGTGTCTTGCAAGTTCTCCTCATCTCCAGCGCACGCATAGCTGCTGTTCAGCTCCCTCTACTCTACTGATCATTTTCCCTCCTTTCTGTCTCCTCCTACATCACCACTGGCTGATGGCATTACTCACACTCTTGCTGATACACCACAAATAAACCCAATATTTTCTACTGCACACAAAGATGCATTCTTTCTCTGGATGGGATTTCAGAATCCTGAATGCCTGGTTAAACCACTTTCCAGGAGACGTGCAGAATGAGTTCTGACTGTTTTGCAAAAGAAGAAATTGAATCCAGTTAAGCTTTTCCTGAATAGCTGTTCAAATCACTGCTTTTTCATATAAAATGCAGTCTTCTTGAATCTATCTTTCAATTTCTGATTTTCTTTTTTTTCCCCCCAAATAAAATTCTTCAGCAAATTTGATGATGTGATGTGATCTGAGTGTGGGACACTGTGATTTTAATTTCTTTTTTTGTTTAGTGATTGTTTTGAGTTTTACTTTAAGTGTCAGTTGCTGAATCATAGAGGTTTGTTAGAGTAATGGTTCATTCAAACTCAAGGCATTGTAATTGTTCTCTTGCTTAAACAGCTCCTTTGTGATCACTTGAAGAAGCGTAAACTGAAAATGATATTCGAATGCTGAAATGCCTTTAAAAATTAGAATACAGAGTGCTGCAGTAGAGCTGTGGTTGGTGTGCTTAAAAACAATAGACAGCCCAACCAGAAAATAAATGCTTATCAGCTCAAAAGATTAGGTGAGGTGAAATTTTCTCCTTTGAATACTCGGGCGTTACTGTTACTAACCAGAGGAGTTTTTCAACATCTGACAGTTGAATGATAATATTATTCACCGAATCATGAACAGGTAGGTGTTGCTAGAATTCCCTTGGTTAGGTGGAGCTACTTCTGTGGAACCAGGGGATCATTTATTTAGTCACAGAGAGAAGTCAGGATGTGCAGTTGCCAACAAGCTCTGTGTCTTTTACCTTGCTGATATATTGCCCATTTACCACGCCCACAATAATTTAAATGTATCAAACACTACTGCAGTAATCAAACTAGTTTTATTTACATTCCATAATTTTCATCGTGAAAATATGAAATAGAAATCGTATGTTTCTGGGTGTTCCCTATCTTTCTGATCTTTCTGTGTCCTTCTGCAGTCCTTCCGTGATTGTACATGCAATATTATTGATGAGCCAAAGAGGTGAGCATCAGGAAAGCAAGAAGGAACTAGAGACATCACCAAGTGAGACCATGAAGGCAGAAGAAAAAAGTTATAAAGAAGAAGACAAAGCATCAAAGAGTGAAGACTGGAGGCCACCATCAGTCTTTGGTGCTGCCGACTTAAAAAACAGTAATCAAGTTTTGTCTATTTTCTGAATGCATATTTTCTGTCTCTCATGCCTTCTGTTCCATTCTCTGTTCTTGGGCTTTGTTTTCTCCTTTACCCCCTTACCGAGGAATATGCAGATGATTCTCATTTTGCACTGTCAAGAAACCATTTTGGGTTTTGATAAGGACTTACATGAGGATCTCAGAGCTTTCTCCCCTTCCAACTCCTTGTATTGGCCATTGCAGCTGAGAATAAGTAGGTAGCAGCCTTTTTCTAAACACAGCCAGCTTTGCCTATTGATTTGCTAAACCAGGCAGTAGGTCCTAGTTACTATGCTGTGTCAGTAGATTGGCTCCCCAAAAGCTGCCATCAGTATTTCAGGTGTACATTCTGTTGTGTATCACATAGATCTCTCCTTACCACTGGCTGTACGCATTTCACAGTTGTTCTGAGTTTCTGTCCCATTTCCTTTCTCCTGACTTCAGAAGACAAACTTTTCCTTTCTGATGCTTTACTGGCATTGCTTTGGGGCACAGAATACAGAAAAAAGTTCTATATGCAGTGTAAACAGCTGCGGGTTAGCTTGTGTGGTAGACACTTCACATGTGCTTCTCACATGCAGCTCCTTATTTTGTTGGTAGACCTGGCTGTTTAAAAGGCTGAATAAAAATGTTCATACAGGCAGCCTTTGATATCTGTTTATTTTAAGCGTGTTAACTGAAAGTAGAGGAGCTGGGAGACATCTGAGTATTATAATCCAGGCTGACTTGGATTTTTCATGCCAGTTGTCAAAAAAAACACAGATGTTATCTGCTTGAGGAAAGTAGGTTGGAGCCTCTCTGAGGTCTGAGCAAGATATTGAAGCTGTGCACTGAATGGCTGAATACATACAAAGATGAGTTTTCTATCTTTTAAATCTTTTTCACTTTCTTTTCTTGTCACCTGTCTTTGGACTCACTTCCTCTTTTCCTGTGCCTACAGGAGCTGTTGGACTGTATAATATTGGACAAACCTGCTGTCTGAACTCTCTGCTCCAGGTGTTCTTCATGAACATACACTTCACAAAGATACTGCGAAGGTACTGCCTGCTTGAACTACCTGAGATGGTACTGTTGTTGCCCCATTGTCTCTGGTCCTTTTTTCATATGGAGCATACATTTGAAGGACTGATTCATTAGGAGGTGTTAAGTACTTCCAGCTAGCTCAAAAAGATCTCTATCTTGCAGTGCCTCTTATTTTACAGACTAGGGCCTACAAAGTCAAAACTTGCAGTTTTCTTACTTGTTAGTCATCTCTCATGTAATGTTTGCACATTGAGGCATTGCAGGCTTGAACTGAGTCTTTATGATTTGTACCTCTTCTCAATAGCAGGATATGATTTTGTCCCAAGTATGATCAGAACACATTATAATTAAAGGATGTGCCACATATAACCATATTCACTATTAACCTTGTAACTGCAAGCATATGAAAATATACATCCTGATGATCCATAGTTTCTGGCCCCCACTGCCCTGGGGCCTAACTCTTGATAGAGATGACTAATGTGGTAGCAGAGTGCAAGTACACTGCTGCTTTGTTCTGCTTCATAGTGCTTGCTGCTTGTTTGTGAGCATGATGTGGGCTTCTGCTGCTCTGTGCCACCCTTAAAACTGGTGTCCAGTTTGCTCAGTTCACTGTAGCTTTAGGCATCTAAGTGGATCATTCCTATTCAGTCTTTTCTCCAAATCTCTTACACACTCATCAGTGTGCAGAGTGGGAAGGAGACAAGTTACAGGTGTACAGAGATGATAAATATCATTAAAAAAGCAAAATAATATAGGCTGAAGGTTACTATTATTATTTAAAGGAAGACATAGAAAAACATGTTGACTAATAAATTTAGAGAGGATAAAGAGCTTCCCAGTTGGCATATAGTTGAAATCTTTTCTATATTCAGCATTCATTAATTGTGATATACTTGCCCATGAAATTTTGGGGGTAGCTGAAAATGAAGGAAAGGAGTAAGGCAAGAGCAGCTCTGAAAACAGCTGTAGATAATACTGCTTCAGAGCACAGAAGGCACTGCAAGTCCTGCTCAGTTTACCCCTTATTCAGAAATGGGCCATCTTAAAATCATAACCTTTGCTTTAGAGCTGTCAGCTTGCACTGTGGGCTGAGCTGGTGGTGGTGTTTTCTTCCCATTTTTCCTTATTTTGCTGAAAATGTGCCCATTGTGGTTCTTCTTGAGTTGCTATCTGTGCCATCCACCTCTGCTCCTTCTGGTGTGATATCTAATATTCCTCCATTGCGCTGCTTGGTTACCATTCATTTTACTTCTCTTTATAGGATCTCAGTGCCAGTGTGTGGCACAGGAAAGAAGAAGAATGTCCCATACCAAATGCTTTTGCTGCTGGAGAAGATGCAGTGTGGAAAGCAGAAAGCAGTTTCTCCCAGAGAGCTTGCTATCTGTCTTGTAGAACACAGAGTGACAAGTAAGCATCCATTTTCTCATGCCCACCTCTGCCTGCAGACTGGGAAAGTTTGTTATCAAGCACTGGAAAGCAGTGCAGACTTTGGCATCTCGTTCAGGAATTCAGAAATGCAAGAAGTAGGTACATGATGATGTAGCTCTTTATAGCTACCTTCCTGTCATGAGTGAGGTGCTGTGTCTTCTGATTTACTTTGCTGGTGTCCAAAGGATGCAAAGATGATCAGCCTGCTAGAAGACTCAGCAGTTGATACTGGACAGAATAAAAGGCTGTGCAAGACACAGAGTGGATGGCTTATGGCTTGATTTGACTCGCTATACTATTTAATAACAGTGCAACAGCTGCTATTTCTTATTAGAAAAAAGGGATCATGTCAGAAAGATACTGAGCTCACCCAAATCCCCAGGGATCCTATTCCTGTTCCTTGTTATAAGTGCTAAGAGAAGAACTCACTGACCTACTCTCCCATCTGGACATGGGTACAAACGAGAGAAACAGTTATCTGCACAAGTGACCAGTAGGGATGGGATACTGAGGGTCTGATTACATGTACAAATATGGATGGTAGTTTGCATGCAGATACTCTGATCTTTGTATAAAAGCTAAAAGATGGCAATTCTGGAAGGGAAAATCGATAACCAGCCCAGACCTATATGAAGGAGGAACATGAGCTAACCTTAGTATTTCTATTTATATAATTCTTCCCTCTGAGGTTTTGCATTCTGCCTTCTCTGTTTCACTTAAAGAGAGATGCCCAACTCCATGAGGCATCAGTCAGGCCTATCCTGTGGTAGGTTATAGGCATATGCTAGGCTCTGTGACAGAGCTAGGCTACTGACAGAGACATTCCTCTTGCAGTGGGTAGTTCAGTGGGGTACTTGAGCCCTCCCATCTTTTCCCACTATTTGCTCGGGTCACGAGAAGACACTGTGGCTGTCTCCAGACTAAGCTCTGTCCCCTGGTAGAAGGTGGCAGTGGAACAGAACACACATTCCAATGGGGAAGAACAAATCTACCTTTGCCATCTATGGAAAACATGCTTGGCATTCTTGATAATACTGATTGAGGTTGTTTTCTGCTTGTCCAGTGTTTGTACAGTATGATGCTGCACAACTCTTTCTGACTCTCTGGAACTTATTAAAGAAACAGATGAAAAACCCAGAGCTGGTAAGTATGATCACTAAAATGAACACCAGGCCCCTTGGCCTTTGCCATATATTCTTTCCTCTGTTTCTCCAAGAAGAATCCCATTCATTGTTACCCTAAATGAAATTCTTGGAATTATCTGCCATCTAAATATTCCCTCTCATATTTAAATGTAGACAGTCTTAATCTCATAGACTTCATGGGTTTTAATCACACTTCTATTGTTCCTCTGTTTAGAGCATGCCAGGTTTTCCTTTCTAACAGGAGAATCTATTAATAAATGATAAGACCAATCTTTTAGCAACACCAAATTTAGTTAACTTGCATGTCTTCCCAAATTTCTGTAAGCATTAACTGGCATGTCTTTACACATTTCCTTCATTCTTTGGAGTCAGCCTTTGCATTTCATTATTGGTAACTCTTGGTATGTATATGACAGTTCCTCCAAAGAGAATGATGTAAAGTAAGAAAAAAAGTGTCTGTTCCTCAAATCAGTATCATAGTTCTGCTCATACACAAGACAGATTCCTGTTACTATTCCAAACAGAACAATAAAATTGCATTTAAAGCAGACATTCAGCTGTCCTTCTACAGGAGATGTCTTTCACCTCGTTAGGGGGTGAGGGGAAGGAGCTGTTCTCCTTTAAATGGTGGAACTGTCCAGTCCACATGAGTCGAGGTCAGATCTGGGTTCAAGCCTTAAAGTACCAACACTTCATGAAGTGGCATGTCCCTTCCCATTCGCAGAGGGAAATACCTCAGCTGTGTTCTTCACAAACCTTGTTTTGGCCATTTTTACCTCCTCCAGGTTGAAAAGCTGAGTGATTTGTACACCATCAGTGTGCAGGAGCACCTGGCCTGTCAGACATGCTCTTCTGAAACAAAGAGGAACAGCAGCATGTTAACCCTTCCAGTCTCATTATTAGATTCTGGCTATCACATGCTGAAGACTCTGGTAAGTTCAGTGATAGTGCTCTGACCTTTGAAAGAAGATTCCTCTCTATTCAGTGTCAGAGCCATCTCCCTGTAGGACTGGTGTCTCCCTGTACTCCTCTAGAGAATATCTGCAGATTGTCTGGGGCCTTTTCTCATTCACATTTCTTGCTTGTTTTGAGGGCTTTTAAACTTCTCCAGAAAAAAAAGTCCGTTCAATTTTGGAGAAAGAAAATAAAATCTTTGAAGCTCCTTTCTGAGAAGGCTGTTGACTATATACTCTGTAGGTTCCAAAGACTTACACTGTATGGTGATGTGTACCTGTGAGAGTTTGCTTACCACAGAGAAGTGCCCTCTGTAAGTGTTAGTCCCTCACCAGGGGCACTGCATTTGCCTGGTGCAGTGTTCTTTTGCTGTCAGAACAGTACTGCTGTTTGATATTCCAGATAAAGAAGTGATGGTGTCAAATAGAGAGTGGAGGTTTCAGCTGTCAGTGGACAACTGGACCTTATTCTGATCACTTTATGCTGTTCCAGGAGAAAGGAACCTTCTTCAAAATCACTGAGGCTTTGGGATGGTGTAAAATACCTTCACGTATCAACACCTTTTTTGTGCCATGCAGTACTCTACTTTTTCAATTAGTGTAATTGCACCCAGAGCTTAAGAAGGAGTAGATATGTTAGGAGTTGTCTCTTCATAGAAAATTTGCCACAGTGCTGCACTATCAAAGAAAAACAACACAATGGGGATGATCCTGTACCAGGCTGCATGCCAGGGGTGTGATACTGCATTGGAATGCATGAGAGGTAAGGGCTGAATCTGGAATCCAGTCTCACTTTTCACCCACTGCAAGGGTAGAAATTGATGGAATGTCAGGGCTGTGATAGGAATATATAGCATAACATGTGTCCTGTTTGAAAGGCACACAGTTGTTTGTTACTCACACTCATTCTAAAATGGGGTTTAAAACAACGTGTTTCTATTGATGTTATTTTGTTGATACTTTGTGGATATTTTTTTTTCTTAATGTAAAGATGCTCTTTGACCTGTTGAAATAACAAAACAAGTGTCTGTTTTAGAACTGTCCTGGTCACATTGCAATAGAAATGATTTGACACAGTGTAGGTGTGTGCATGTGTACACATACGAATGCACATTCAGTACAGTTTGACTATGATTATGTCTGTATAGTCAGTTCTAATAGGAGAGGCACTATGTAAGGAGAAGTTTTACAGTCATACATTTGCTGACTTCAGATGGTGAGAGCAGGAAGTGCAGCTCAGTGAAGATCACACTCAAAAGTCACTAGTGATTTTGAATCTCTTGGTTTTGAATGTCCCAGTGTAATGGCTTCTTGCTTTTCAAGGTCCAAGGCTAAACAAGAGTTGCCAGTCCTAATGCACTGTAAACAGGGCCTTTGGAAATTCAGGCACCTAATGTCACTAGGCACTTAAATACAGGTAGGTCAGAGTGAACTGCAGTCCAGCTCTCCGTATTTGGTCAAATTTCCCAGCTCTGCATTGCCCAGTTTTCTTATCTAGGGAGTCTTCTTACTGCAGCATTCCTTCCTAAATTCCATCTTTGTATGTAGAAGAATAAAGGTTATTTTTCTTCTGACGCTCTCCTGTGAAGGCAAACAAAAAAACTGTGTTTTTAGAACTCAAGTAAACAAAGACTGAAAACAACTTTTCTCCATACTGTACCTATATGTGCTGAAATGACCAAACCCTTCCTCTCTTTTCTTTGGCTAAAAAATTAAATGCATTAATGTCACTGTGAATGTTTTACAGTGACACTTAATGCTTAGTCCACAGGTTACTGAACACATCACGTTTTGTAACTGCTTGTGCAGTTGGTTATTCAGGAGCAAGTCTAACTTACAGATGAATGCAAGGCAGACAAAATCTTTCTAAACACTAAAAAAATGCAGAACAATTCAAACTGACTAGCAGTACTTGATTTCACTCTTTCATTCATGGTAAGGGACAGAAAACTGATTTTTTCCTTTGAATTACAAATTGCCTTCTGTAGCTTTGTTGTCTACATGCAGCCCATGAAGCAAAGTTGAAATAAAAATCTAGCTTGAAGGAAGGAAATAAGATGAAAGAAAACTGTTCTGTCTTCTTAGGAGGAGTGCCTGCAGTGCTTTTTCCATTCAGAAGAGTTGACTGGTCAAAACATGTGTTTCTGTGAACACTGTGGAAAGAAAACACCGTTTCGGCAGGTAAGCAGAAGTATTTCCCCATACATCTCTTATATACAGAACTCCCTTTAGGACTGGGAAAACAGAGAAAGAACTCAACCTTACCAGTTGAAGAGATCAACAACTCAAAGCTGTGTTGACATAGCACTGTCAGCTGGGTAAAAGCCATATGGCAAGATCCCTGCCGTGAACGTAGCTGTAGGGACAAAAGAATGCTTTTATGGTTTTTAATATAAGTCACCTAGGGGTAGACAAGAGTATGTTACCAGTGCTGTGCATACCTTTAAGAGCAGGAGAGCGTAGGGTGGTTTCTTTTCTCTCCTTCTCTCCATTGGACTCTGTGTGTTTACAGTATTGGTCTCTGCCAGCAGATGAATTAGCTGTTTCATGCAGCAGCAAGTGGATTGAAGAGAGAGGTGTGTCAGGGAAGAGTGCCTCAGCCCAAGGTTTGGAGGGGACTTTCCACGACGTTTTCAGGATTGGTCCACCCTCCTAGGCCACAGTGCATACATGCCTTGGTGGCAGTCATGGCAGCAGCAGTACTGTCAACAAAGGCAGCGCCAGGTGGAGTGAACTGACAGCGTGGCATCCTGCACAGAGCTCTGTTGGCCATGTCACAAGAAAGCTGGCTTACTTCTCCTCACCAGGCACAGTGCTTGACTATCCACTCACCTGCCCAAGACCCCATCCAGTTTATCGATGGTATTGTGGTGCTTGGGTTTAAAGAGGTGACGAACGCAGCAGTTACTTTGCCACTGAAGAGTACAGCCAACCCAGCAGACAGAAAAAACTGTTCCAATGAATCTTCACAGACAAGTTGTGCAACAGGGAAATTTCTTCTGAATGTGACTGTTTCTTTGTTGTGTAGAAACAGCCTGCTGATTGTGGCAGCTAGGCAGCATGCTACACCATCTGTATTTTGTGCTATCGCTGGTTTGGTCACCTGAACATCTTAAATGCCATAATTTTCAGTCCATGGGTTAGTGAAGAGAGGGAATAATTATGGGAATGCTACCAACCTGGGGTTAGGAAAGCAGATGAGAAATAAAGCAGTCAGTGAGACACGCAAGGCTCAATGCTGATCAAGTTGAAGTTGAGAAACCTGATCATCACATCTCTGTGTAGATGGGCTGCTATGCTACATTCACTGTCTAGCAATGATAGAGTTGGATGTCAGGGGGAAGTTCTTTACAGAGAGAGTGGTGAGGTGCTGGAACAGGTTGCCCAGAGAGGCTGTGGATGCTCCATCCCTAGAGGTGTTCAAGGCCAGGTTGGATGGGGCCCTGGGCAGCCTGATCTGGTATCAAATGGGGAGGTTGGTGGCTCTGCATATGGCAGGGGGGTTGGAGATTCATGATCCTTGAGGTCCCTTCCAACCCTGGCCATTCTGTGATTCTTTGATTCTGTGGCAATGGCTTTTTCTACCCCAGCTCTCCTGAGTTTGCTCCTTGGTTCTGAATTTCATTATTTATTCCTTTTCAGAGTGTAAAGCTGGTCCACCTGCCACAGACTCTGACCATACACCTAAAGCGCTTCTGCTTTGGAAGATCATCCTACATCCACAAAATTAGCAACTGCCTGCCATTCCCACAAGACCTTGATTTCAATGCAGTCTTGACAGAACAGCAGTGCCAAGCACATGACAATGAAAAGGTGAGATAATCCTAATGCCCTGTCTAAAAGAGTCAGATTTTCTTCTGCCTTAGCTCGAATTTGATAAGATCAGTGCGGACTTCATTTCAAAGCAGTCTTAGAAATGTATGTCTCAGACTTTACCTGTGCTTGGTGTTGTCTGACATCTAATTGTTTTGACTCGTTCAGGCATTATTCAAATTCCTGTCTCCAAAGGTAATATAACTAACTGGAGCTTTCTGCCATGAAGCCAAAAAACAGGCTTTATGGTTCTTTTTCTTTCTTCTGAGAGCAATGAGCATAACTTCTTTCTTCCGTGTCTAAAAATACTACAGAAAAGATTTAAACACTGTCAATTTAGTTGACCAAATCCAGACCTTGAGGTTAGCAGGAAGATGACAGCTTTGCCAAGCAGCTGAGTGACCTGCTACATCTCTTCCCCTTACTGAGAATAACAAGGGAAAGTGTGGCAACAGCAAAATCTCATTGGTGCAGTGCTTGGATGCTGTCACCCCTTTACTGCCTCTTTGCTGTCCTATTGCCCTTTTTATGTTCCTGTAACCTCCAGGGAGGCTGCTAGTCCACAGTTGGCAGGCAAATCACTGAGGGTAATATTATAAAAGGCAGGATGCTCAGGGTCAGTCTGATCTTTCTTTTCCTTATGAAATGCACATTCTTGCTGTCCTGGCTGCTGCTTGTTTTCAGCAGTGGTAAATGAAAATTGCCTTACTGAAAGTTTCTCTTTACAGGCTGCCTGGCAGTATGAGCTCTTTGCTGTTGTTGCTCATTCAGGATCAACTAGCTGTGGACATTACTGTGCCTATATTCGAAGTCTCACAGAATGCAAATGGTATTGCTTCAATGATTCTCTTGTTGAACAGGTAAGGAAACAAATCCACTTTTCTTTTGTAGCTTTCCAGACAGTCCTCTAGATCTCACTTAGTCTGACTGACTGCTAATTCAAGAGAACCCGGAGAGAAAAATGAGTCTGCAGAGCTTTGTGCATGCCTTTCCTCTTCTACAGCATCCTCAGAGCTGAGGGCAAGATGGCTTTAGCTCAGAACCTCAGGATCTGCTTTGCATTTTCCACAAGCAGCCATTGACTGTATGCCCTACATTATGTACTCTAGATCTGTTTAATGCTTTTTTTTTTTTCTTTTTTTTTTCAGAAGAGGCAAAGGAACTGATTTTCCTCAAAAATCATGAGTGATTAACTGTTTAATTAAAATATTTGTAGCTCCTGAAAGTAGAAGATGTATCGCTGTCATGAGGACTGTTGTGCTGGTATCACATTATGTCCTTCTCAAGAGTTTTTACAACCCTTACCTTCTGTGTTTTACTTCAGGTGTCATGGGATGATGTTAGAAGTACCTATGGGCATTCAGACCTCAGCTGGTAAGGAAGTGCCTCTTTGTTTTTACTTAATGCCACTCTGGGGTCTAAATTTCATTATTTAAAACGATGCAGCAAAGAGGGGGAGAACAAATGATTGGAATTGCCCTTTGCCTGTCATGAGCTGGGCATGTTGGAGTATATAGGGAGCATTCTTGTGTTCTGGCTACTTGAGACAACTATACTGACTGCACCTGGAGCCTGCAGTAGTCACAAACTGTGCTGTAGGAGTGGTGGTGTTGTGATTGACCCTTGATCCTGACTAGCGTTAGGTACATTGGTCAGGATTCCTCCATGCTTTGTATGTTGATGAATCATAAGAAAATGAGCATGAAGAGAGAGACTTCCTCCTGTAAGCTGTAGTGCTGCCAGGGAGGTTAGCATGCTGCCATAGGAGCATTGGGTAGGGCCGCTTAAGCTGACCTAAATCTCAGAAAGTTGAGCAGGAACAAACCTGGAAGTTTTTTTGCAACTGAGATCAGTGAGATCTTCAAACATGTTAGTTTTGCTTTTTCTTTTTCTTTTTTTTCTTTTTTTTTTTCCTGCAGGGGACAAACAGCATATCTCTTGTTTTACATGAAAAAACATCCCCAGTAGCCTTACCTGGCTGTTCTCAGAAGCTGTGCCTTGCCCATGGAGCTCTGCATCTGCAAGCTAGAGTGGATGTGTGCAAATGCTCCTCAATGAAGAACTACATTCCATCAACAACATCTGCATTCAGTTTTTATTGTTTTTTTTTTTCCCCCCACAAAAGAAGTGCAGGACAAACTCAACTGGAGAAAGGACCTTAGAATTATTGCATCTAGAAATCTTTTCTTTCCTGCCATGTGATTATTTATTTATTGTATCCCTCATACATGCATGATTCTATATATTAATTTTCTCTTAAAAAATAATAAAGTTAGTTCTTTTTTCTGCTGACTTACCATGCTGGTGCCTAGATTCCAGTACAGAAGAACTTTTTGGTCTGAAAGCCTGCATGGTGTTCCAAGAGAGCACACAGTACGGCTGGAGAGCCATGGCAGCTGTAAGACCAAAAAGCTTTTCAGGCCGTGTTTGATGATGGCAGGCTGGGCAAGGGACTCTGAAAATCTTGAGAAACAGCTCTAACAGGGATCGGAGCCCTTATCACACATGCAGCAGTGATCACAGAATCATAGAATGGTTTGGGCTGGAAGGGACCTTTAAGATCACCTAGCTCCAACCTCCCGCTATAGGCAGTGACACCTCCCTCTAGACCAGGTGGCTCAAAGCCCCATCCAGCCTGGCCCTGAATGCTTCCAGAGAGGGGATGCTTACTCTTAAAATACTGCAAGGAAATGAATCACTGAGGAATTGAGATGTAATTGGAAGTTCCCATGGGGAGACTACATGGTTGGAGGCTTCCTATCTGCTTTTATCCTTTGTCTGGGAACTGCTGAGATATATATTAAGAATCTTTTCAGTCTGTATGTCAATAAAAAGAAATCTCTGTTTTTTGTTTGTTGAATTAAATAGTATGGGATAAATTCCCTAGCAAGTAACATTTCTGAATTGTTCTTGGTCTGGATTTATATGTATATATATCTGAAAACATAAATTGCCTGGTAAGGGCTGCTCAGTTCCCACAGGTGATGAGCCTGCCCCACCTCCAGCAGCAGCACGACCCAACTACTGAACATCTCTGTGGGCACGGTGTTCCCTAAGGTGCTAGAAATCAGGAGCTGTCAAGTCCCCGCTGTGGTGCTGCCAGAAGTGCATGCTACACTTGCATGTTTAATACTGATGAAGAATAAGGTAATTCTAACAATTTCCTGTATTTCCTGTATTAGAGGCTGGAACACCTCAGAGAGAACAGAGATGACTTAAGAGAGAACGTGCTATGTGATCTGACCACAACAACTGGCTTTCTGAACTTTCAGACAAGAACAGTGGTTGACAAGAACAGGGATTTGGCATCTTGCTCTAACCCTGCAGTCACCCTGAGCTCTCCACTCTCCTCTCTGGTGCTTGTCCCTGAGCAGAAGTGGTAAAGTGAATGCTCTACTTGCTTCAGCACTGCCCAAGTTCATGACATGGATTAAGAAACACGGAGACCAGTTCTGGTTCTCTTTATTATGGCAGGTTCCCAAAAACTGCATGTCCCTGAGGTCTGCACAGTTGAAGTATAAACTATTTTGATCATCATATCAGATGAATTTGAAGTCCTGAATCAGCACACTGAGGTTAGAGGATTCCTGGCCCCTAACCTTCCTTATGCACCTGCTGGTGTAGCTTGGGCAAGGACCCTGAGTTCAAAGGCAGCCCCCAAAACAAAGGGCGAAGGTTCCAAATAGGGCTTTTCACAGCTCTGTCACAGAATTTGGGTGTCAGATCCAAAATTACAGCTGCCCTTTATCAACTGCTCCCAAACATTGCGCTTGTGAGATGAGGAGAGGATGAATCAACTTCTGTGGTCAGCCCCAAGGCAGGGAAAAGGAAGTTGCAGAGCCTGTCAGTGCACCTGCGGCCCTGACCTGTAGGCTTTATTGCTCGGTGTGAGGCAATTACAGGTTGGATAAGCATCAGTGCATCATGTAGTTCTTACAGGTGTGGAGCACACCCAGCATGCAGGGGCTTGATTATGGAGAGAAGGAGATACTGTGCATTTTTTAGGATGAAAATGATTAACTTCTCTAGTTCTAAATAGCATGCTCCTTTGTGACCTCTTTACTGCTGCGTTTTACATAATTTAGAGTAGCACAGATTTGGTGGCTATCCACAGCATTATATCCAGAAGGAGGCTGAGCATGCTGTGTGCATTAACAACTAGTAGTAACGTAGTTCACTGTGCAAATCCAGGGTTGCTGCTTACAAGACTGTCTGGGAGACACACACTGAAGAAGACTCACTGTGGCCCTCTGAAAAACTGCTTTGTCTGGAAGGTGTGTGGAAATAAAGCATCAAGGGTCACCCTGCATAAAGAATACAAACTTCCTTTTTCGTCCTTCACTCTGTTGAATAACATAACAGGAAATGCCAGGAGGCTCAAGGCTACTCAGAGCTTATATGCTGGAGAAATTGCACCTCAGAAGTAAGGAAGACAGAGCTAACAACCAAGAAAATGAGACTAAGCCTTCCCAGGTCACTTTGCCCTTGCACTGGAGACACAGTGAGTTTATTGTCAGGGTTTGTAATCAGTTTATTGTGTTTCCAGATCCAATTGGGCCATGGGACGAGTGGGACTGCATTGCATATAGATTTTAAAACTGCCAGATCTCAGCTGTTTTTGCAAAAAAGTCACCTTGAATGCCCCTGTGTCTACCTATAGCAGTTAATGTGTGCGCTGGATAAACAGCCCAAGGATGGCTTTTGGAGCATGGGATGAAGTGCTAGGCAAAACAGCCTGTGCTGAAATTCCATGCCCTGCAGTTACAACCTCACACAGTGGCAGGGTGAGGAAAAGCACCTCCTGCCTTTCTACCAGAGTTCCCAACACAGCCATAGAGTCCCCTCAAAGGAGCTGGGATTACTGACCCTGTGCTAGAGCCACTGTGCAAATGAAACCTAGCACAGATAGCAAGATAAAGCCAAGAGGGGAGAGATAACTGTAGGCTCTGGTAAATCTTCATTTCCTTTTTATGGCTTTGCTTTGGGATTACCAAGTCTGAAGAGGAAGGGTCTGTGAGATAGGAATAGGGCCATAGTGAAATGCACAGATTCTCTGCTTCATCTCTGGCAGACACATCCTTGGATTCAGTCCCCTGTTTCAATACCCCAGTTTCAATACACACATAAACACCAGAACATTTTAAAATAAACATGTATATTTTTATGTGACGTATGCAGTCACATACGTATTCTCTAAAAGTTCAGTGTGTCATCAATCTAAAGATTATACATGAAAGCAAGAAAGAAATATTTTTTGATGCTTTACTTCAAGTATAATTGTAATTTACAAGAGTTACTTATCAAATAGTTACCTCTGATGTTTCTCCCCGCAATGTGCCCAGAGCTGAGGCCACCTGAAGGGGAAGAAGGCCCTGCTGGAGTTTCTCCTGTCAACGCTGCCTGTTCTTTCAGCTGTACATAGAGGGCAGTGCTTTCCTTGCAAGTGCAAACAGACCTCAGGTAGCCCTTTGGAGATATTTTGCAATTCGTTTTCAGCCCAGACTCTGTGCAGTTTCCCACACGACTGGCTTATATTTCACCAGGCTGAAGCTTGCATTTATCAGGCTCAGTGGTGTTTGCACTTGCCTGTGAAAACAGGCACGGGAGTCATAAATGCTTTAGAGAACTTAAAAGGTAACACAGGTTTCTGATGTAAATGTGGTGAAGGAACTGGAAAATAAGTGTTTCTGAGGTAAATCTCCTGAAATTAAATTAAAAAAAAACCACACACACAACATAACTTACAGGCATAACTGCTATGAAAAACTGAACAAGGGCTTACCAGCAAATCATGGAATCATGGAGTCATTTAGGTTGGAATAGACCTTCAAGATCATCAAGTTCAACAATCAACCTGACCCAACAAGTCCTACCACTAAACCACATCCTTTATGCCACATCCACATGTCTCTTAAATACATCCTGAGATGGGGACTCCACACTTTCCCTTGGCAGTCTGCTTGACTACTCTGACTGTGAAGTAAATCTTCCTACTGTGTAATCTAAGCCTCTTCATGAGCACCTTGAGACCATTTTAACCTATGTGGAAAGTGACACTTTCAGCTGTCATTAATTTGGTCATGATAATAAAATAGAAGGTAGAAAGGTGGGCCATTCAACAGAAACATCTCCTTATCTCATCTACCTCACATCTCTGTTTCTTATGATTGTGGAGTAGGACTTGGAGTAGGATTGTGGAGTAGTTGAAGGAAACAGTACTAACTTTGACAGGGCTTTTGCACCGATTTGTCAGATGGAAGCTGGGCTTACCTCTCCAAAGTAGACCAAGATTTTCACTCAGACTTAAGAGTGCTCTGAAGTAATTGTTATTTTCCTAAACAGATTAATGACTGAAAGCTCTGCTTCCCGTGGGATGTAGTTTGATTCCGTATGGAAATGTGGGCCAGTGCTTCTCCCCAAGACTGCACTGGCAATGGGCAGAGCAGAGCTTGGAAGAAAAAGATATTCTCTTCTATCTTGTCCCACACTTGCAGCAATTTCACACCTCTCAATTAAAATCCTTGGGGTTGAGGTGCCTGTGGCCAAAGCCAGCATGGAAAAGCTCATTTTACAGGAAGAAGCTGCAAGGAAGTCAGCAGCCTTGAGGGTGTGGGTGGAGAAGAAAGCTGCTGCTGGTTTAGATCAGCACAAGCAGTGACAGAGGATACAAGAGGAAAATTACCCAGTGTAAAAAGGTACAAAATGCTCAAGGAAAGCTGGTGCTGGAGAACAAGAGCCTGGTGCCACTGGGCACCTCTTGCAGGGAGCAGCAGGGTTGATCCTTGGCCACCTGATTGAGGCTGCTGGTGTTTCAGTGGAAAAGTGGAAGCTCTTTGTGTGTCTGCCCAGTGGGTACTGAGCATACTCATGCTCAATCTCATGGATCTCAGTTCTTGTTGGTTTTTTGTGTGTAGCATATCCTGCATGCAGGGGCTGCAAGATGCAAAAAGGGCCTGAAGGAAGTGACCTGCACTGGGTCACTGGGCATCTGAGGCTCTGCCTGTTGAAATGTGGTGTTACCCTGGGGCTGTTCCTTGCTGTAACAGGCAAAGAAGTGCCAGAGAAGGGAAAGTTCATTGATGACTGGATAAACAATATGTGCGTAACACTCATATCTTTGAAATGACTTCTTGTGAGATCTTGGGCAGATCTAAAATCAGATCAGAAATCAGAAGTCAGCACATCAGCTCCTTCTGTCAGGACACAGAAGCCTCCAGGCTGGAGTCAAACCCTCTCTGTATAAAAATGACAGGTCTGGGATTTTCCAGAATAGACTGTTACCCTTCCTGAGCCTTGTAAAACCATTGTGTAATTTATGCAGTTTTTTAGCTATGAATGATAAATTATCCGATACAGGACAGTATGCAAACAGATAAGGCCACAAAGTAGCACTACCACAACATGAAGGATCAAGACTGCCACTGCTGATCACCTGTCTTGCAGATAAAATGAGTTTAAGTTTGAAGAACCGCTCAGAGGTAACAAAATGGATCTTGAAATGGCAAAGCTCTACTTGCTATTTATTTCTTAACTCTTTCAAGTAGGGGAAACCTTTGCTTAAAGGAACTGTGGTTCTTGACAAATCACATTGTGGAAATGTCAAAATACTTCCAGAAGTATGTAATCAACAGGCAAATGGGGGATAACCCACTGTCTATTTGATTATTTTAAAGATATCAATGAAATTACATCAAATGGTTCAACCTTTGACAAGATTTTATCATTATTACATCCTGCAAATGCTAATATTAATCCTGAGAAATGCAGGAAGATTATAAATGAATGGGAAATAGGAATGGGACGTTCCTTTTTAGTTAATATCCCCTTTTATCACATTGTGTAATGCAGCAAATTGTAGTTTAGATAAGCCATCTTTCAATCTTAGAATTCTGTG